GTTTCTACCACTTTTTTTTAAAAAACTTTTTTTTTTTTTTTCCTCGGGATTGATTTGATTATTGGCAAATCAAAAATTCGTGGGTTTTTCGAAACGAGTATAGTTACATATGTATATATATATATATATATATATATATATATATATGAGAGAGACAGTGAGATAGATTGGTGGTAAACTAGCTTGTTAGGTAGTTTTGGTAAGCATTTTCAAATCCCATATTAAAAGATAGGGGGGAAAACGGATGCAAATGTCTGATCTTCATTTTCAGTCAATTGTTACTGTGTTTCCAAGTATTAGGTTGGTGCAAAAATAATGACATAATAATGTCGTTTTTTGACGTATTTTTTAAGGTCAAAAAAACGACATTATTACGTCATTATTTTTGCACCAACCTAATAGTTCTTAGTTTTGGAACATTTTGGACGTTTATGCTGTTCCTCAAATAATTTCTGTAATTAAACATAAAACCACTGCTCTTAAACAAAAGAATTAAATTTTACATTTCTTCTTAGTTGGTTAAATATGTTAATTCCTTATATTCGTAAACCGTCTAATATTTTATTCAAAGAACGTAAAAATATACAAAAAAATATACAAAAAAAAACTTCGGAGTCTTTGGGAAATGTCCACGGAAAATATCGTGTGAAAAGATGTTGGCGGGAAAACCACTAAATAATTTTTTTTAATTTTTTAAAGTTTGTTCACTTTTTCGCCGTCAAATTTTATTTCATTATCGGCGGGAAGATGAATTTCATTGGTCTGTCGTTTCAATAACCGACTGGTTCAAAAATGTTATGTAGTCTAAAATACAAAAGCTGTTCTTGCTAGCTCTCAAATGGAAAGGTATAAATGAAAATAAGACAGAATACAGAAGTGATGTCAGAGGTCTCTTTTTCATTCAGAATAGAGACTAAGCAATATCAAGTGAAAAAATGTTTTGGCGGGGGAAGAAAATACACAAAAACCGTCTATGGTTGCTGAGATTCCTACCGCCAGAAGAGAGATCGGCAAAACGACTCAAAGAAATTATATTAAAATGTGCGAAAACGAAAACTAGACAGGAAAGTGTTTTGGGGAGGAAAGCGAAGACTGAAAGGAATAATAATATAAAATGAACAAGGAAAGAAAAAAGAAACTTTGAAATAAAACAAAGAAAAATGAAATTCTCAGTGGAAAAATATAATATTATGTAGAGTTCTTTACTTTGTTAGTTTCATTTTTAAAGAACCAAATAAGAAACAAAGAATAAAAAAGAATGAAAAAAATCATAAGAAAGAAAACAAAAATAAGCAAAGAATCAGGAATCACAAATACACGAAAAGAAATAAGATTAAAAGAGAGAAGGAAAGAAAGAAAGGAGGAAGGAAAGAAAGAAAGAAAGAAGGAAGGAAAGAAGGAAGGAAAGAAAGAAAAACAAAGAAAGAAGGAAAGAAACAAAGAGAGAAAAAAAGAACATAAGCGTGGGTTATAACATGAAAAAAGAAAGGAAGAATGAAAAGAAAGAACGATAGAAAGAAAGAAAAGGAAAGACGGAAGTAAAGAAACAAGGAAATAAACAAAAAAGGAAAGAAACAAAAAAGGAAAGAAACAAAAAAGGAAAGAAACAAAAAAGGAAAGAAACAAAAAAGGAAAGAAACAAAAAAGGAAAGAAACAAAAAAGGAAAGAAACAAAGAAAGAAACAAACAACCAAGGAAGGAAACAAAAAAGAAAAGAAAGATGGAAGGAAACAAACAAGGAAGGAAACAAAGAAGGAAAGAAACAAAGAAGAAAAGAAAGGAGGGAGGAAACAAACCAGGAAACAAACAAGGAAGGAAACAAACAAGGAAGGAAACAAACAAGGAAGGAAACAAACAAGGAAGAAAGAAACAAGGAAGAAAGAAACAAAGAACGAAAGAAAAAAGGAAGGAAACAAAGAAAGAATGAAACAAACAAACAAACAAAGAAACAAACAAACAAACAAGGAAAGAAACAAACAAGGAAAGTAAGAACATTGGCGTGAAAAAAAAAAGAAAGGAAGAATGAAAAGAAAGAACGATAGAAAGAAAGAAAACATTGACGTGGAAATTAATATGCAGAAAAGAAAAAAAGAAAAAAAAATGAATGGAAGATTCAAACAAGAAAAAACAAAAGAAAGAATTGAAAATATCAAAAAAAGTAAAACATAGACAGAAAGAAAAAGAAAAAAAAATTACCAAACGAAAAAAGAAGCAAAGGTAAAAATAAAATGGAGTAATGAAAACAAATCCAGTAAACAAAAATGGAAGAAAGAATCAACGCAAGAAATCTTCGGAAAAAAGAAAAACAATAAAAGAAAGAAAAGCTTAGTCAAGAACCCTCCACATGAGATAGCATAAATGGCACCCGATAGGATGGCTTTTAAGCTAGTACTTAATGAGAACGGATAAATTTCAAAGATATTTCAATGCCAGGCCAATTTTATTGATTTGAGGCACTCTCTGGATCCGCACCGCATCGCCTGACTACTGTCTGCTTCAGAACCGAGTAGTGGCACCTGACTCAACGCAGTGCCCTCTTCATCTACAGGTAAACCTCTAGATGATGAGTGCTCTCTAACCGGAGTCGCGATCCGTATGGGGTCAAATTATGTGAGCTTCACAGATGCATTGATGAGTTTGGTTTGCATCCTCTTTCTTGTCTTCGTAGTGCCGGACGCTTTCCAAGGTATGCCGCAATAAACGACATCACCAGAAGAGGTCTGGATGCAGCCGGGTTCCCATCCCCCAAAAAATCCATAGGCCTCGACTGCGGTGATGGAAAGCGGCCGGATGGAATTACCACTTTCCCTTTTAAAATGGGGAAGTCGTTGATTTGGGATGTGACCTGCGCCGATACATTTTCGACCGGTAATTTGATCAGGTCCGCGGTTGAGCCGGGGTCTGTCGCACGGGACGCGGAGATGAAAAAAATAGTTAAATATTCTTCTCTTCCGGACAGATTTATTTTTACCCCATTCTCAGTGGAGACTTCTGATGTTATTGGTCCTTGTTCGATGTAGTTCCTTCGGAGGGTTGGCGGGATTGCGTCTCGATTAAGAGATGAGCCTCTGAAAAGGAGTGGCTATTGCAGCATATCTCACTGGCGATGGGACGAGGTAATGGCAGAGGATAGAAAAAAATCATTGTTTTTGTTTATAGATACGTTGTTCAAATAAATATTTGCTTTTTATTTCTATGAATAGAATGAATGATTTTTTTTCTTTTAAGATTAGAAAAAATTCCAAATTGGATGACACAGAAATGTAAATAAATAAAAAATAGATAAATGTAAAGAAAAAGCAGAAATCTTTTTTTTATTCATTTCACCCCAAGCAAGGCATTAAAGCCTCTAGAACGCAAGAGGTTACTGTTTGTTAGAGAATGAGAAAAATTACTATGAAGGAGTGAGGACAATAAAAGAACAATAATTATAAAACAGAGAATAACGATTAATATTGTATTTAAATTTTTGAAGATTAAAGTTGACTGGAAAAAAAAAAACCGGAAAAGAGTTCCACAATCGAGAAGTGCGATAGAAGAAACTGTTAGCATAGAACTTACACCTAGCCATTACAACTGTAAAATGACGAGACCGTGCCACCAATCTAGTTTTTTTTTTTTTTTTTTTTTTAATGCCTTGCGTGATACACACTTAGGTGATCATGACTGATGAGGCAATTTTTTGCCCGCAGTAGGTTGCCATTTCTTTCCGCGGTAGACCAGTTGCCATCCAAGGCTATTTACTCATAGCTGAGGGCGGGGAGAAGAAGAAGATTCATACCTTTCCCAGGGGTAAGTGAATGTAATGGATTCGACTGGAATTCGAACTCGGTTCTCCGATTTCTCAATCCGAGCCACTATCCATTACTCTACTGCGTATAAATTCATAGATTCTAGTTACTATAGAGGAAAGTTCATCAGAAAATTTGCCATGAATGTATTCATAGAAAAGATACCGTGAAGCTAGATGCCATGTCAATACCAATAACATTGCAGATGCTTTTTTTTAATTTTATGAAGAGTCACTTAATATGTAGACAGGAGCAGCGGACCGGATGTAGCACCAATATTAAAAGCAAGAACGTATAGAAGACTTATAAATATGTAAGATAGATTCTGGCGGGAAAAATCGTTTTGCTTTTCTGTGTTTTTATCCTTAGATGGATGTCAAATGTAGAAGACAGTTAAAGTGACCTAAATGACAATCAAATTGACTGAAAAGTGACAATGAGAAGATGAATGAATTTAATGGAAAGTAAAGCCGGATGGGCGAGAAAAAGAAGAGTAAATAAAAAAGTATAAAACGGAAACAAAGTTCAAAGGCGACGACTGCATGAGAATGAACAGAAACTGAAGAAAATGAAATGGAAAAATAAAAGGTAAAATTGAAAGAATTAAAAGAAAAACAAATGGTAAAGAATGACAAAAAAAGGGTGATGAAATAAACAAGAAAGGAAAGAGAAATGAAGAAGAAAGGAAAAAGTAAATCAATAAAAACCAAAAGGTAAAAAGGGACGTAAAAAAGAAGAAAAATAAAGAAAAGAAAAGGAAAAGTGAAAAATATTTTAAAAAAAAGGAAACGAAAAGAAATCTAGAAGGAAGGGCAAAAGAAAGACGAAAACAAAAAGAATTTAAAAAAAAAATGAAGAAATAAGGAGGAAGAAAAAAGTGAAATGAAAGCGCAAGTAATAAAAAGGGAAGGAAGAAAATAAAAACGAAAAGAAAAAACGGAATGTAAAAACGGATAAAGAAAAAAATGAGGACGAAAAAGAAAAAAAATAAAGAAGCGAGGAGAAAGAAAAAGAGAAGAGCGAGGTTAAATGAAAATAAAGCAAACAGAAAGAAGAAGGAAACGAAAAGAAATTAGAAAAAAGAAAATTATTCGTAAAATAAATAACAAGGAAAGAAAAAAGAAAATAAGGATAGGAAACAGAAATCGAAAAGAAAAAAGGAAATAAAAAGAAAGTTTTAAAAAAAGGAAGGAAAGAAAAAAAGAAAGTTTAAAAAAAAGGAAGGAAAGAAAAAAGTTTAAAAAAAAGGAAGGAAAGAAAAAAAGAAAGTTTAAAAAAAAGGAAGGAAAGAAAAAAAGAAAGTTTTAAAAAAGGAAGGAAAGAAAAAAAAGAAAGTTTTAAAAAAAGGAAGGAAAGAAAAAAAGAAAGTTTAAAAAAAAGGAAGGAAAGAAAAAAAGAAAGTTTTAAAAAAAGGAAGGAAAGAAAAAAAGAAAGTTTAAAAAAGGAAGGAAAGAAAAAAGAAAGGAAAAAGATGACATTAAAAAAAACAGAAAAAAATGAAATGGAAAAGAAAGAAAGGAAAATAAAGAACAAGAAGGAAAGGCGAAACAGAAAATGAAATGAAAGAAAAATGAAGTAAGATAAAAGGACACGAAAGAGAAAGAAAAAATGATAGGAAAAAAAAGAAGAAAAGAAATGAAGAAAATAAAAAGTAAAGAGAAAGAAAAGGATAAAGAGAAAAGAAAATTGGAGAAGTAAAATGAGTAAAGAAAAAATAGAGGAAAGAGAAAGATAAAATAAAATGAAAGACGCTTATTTTACACGGTTTTCTTTTACCTTATTCGCAAATGCCAAAGTATGATTTTGTTTTCATTCACAGATTGATTTTTTCTTCAGACGACTGTAGAATTTATCGGCTGAATATTCTGTTAGCAACAACAGCAAATATAATGGAAAAATGCCGAATAGGCAATAATCTTCGGTTACTTTCATCAATAAATTCTTAGCTTAAAACGTCTTCATTTAGAAAAATGAAATAGTCTAATTTAGTCTAAGTGTGGTCTGCTGCAAATCATTACGAAATCTATCAGAAAGTTATATTAAATTTTGGGAGAAAATGGTCAGAAAAGAATTATATGAAGTGGATGAAAATGAAAAGGATGAAGCAAAAAATAAATAAGGCTAAAGGATTCAATCTAAGAGATAATTTATGCCTTTCTTTATGTAGATAAATAACATATTTAGTAACTTTTTTTGTGTTATTTTACGATTTCTCTTCACATATATAAAAATTATACATGAACAATTTTTAAGTTTTAGAGACCCTCCAAATCCAATTCTTTCAGATGTGGCTCCATACTCACCATACCTCGTCACTATGGTGAGGCGATTTAACTGATAGTTGGAGTAGATGGCAGTTGACTCTGAAGAATTCATTTGACCTTTATCGGTTCTTGTTTCTTGTGCTGTTTGGTTTCTTATTCCCCTCAGATACCTGGGTCTGGTGAGGAAGCAAGTTTAGCCGCTGACCACACAGGTTTTGAATTTTTTTTTCTTTTCCTAGACTGGTTGCGAGTCAAGTTTATAGGCTCCAGTCTGTCCTATTATTTAGCCATAGCTAGGGACTGAAGAGATGGATTCATACCTTTCTCAAAAAAAACGAAAGGAAAGAAAAAAAAGGAAGGTAAAATCTGACATTAAAAAAAACAGAAAAAATGAAATGGAAAAGAAAGAAAGGAAAATAAAGAACAATAAATTAAAAAGAAAAAACAGATTATGAAGAAAAATTAAATGAAAAAGAAAACATAAGACGAAACAAAAAAAAATGAAAGAAAAATGAAAAAAAGAATTAGTAAGATAAAAGGACAGTAAAGAGAAAGACAAAATGATAGGAAAAAAGAAGAAAAGAAATGAAGAAAATAAAAAGTAAAGAGAAAGAAAAGGATAAAAAGAAAAGAAAATTAGAGAAGTAAAATGAGTAAAGAGAAAAAACAGTCAGTGAATGTAACAGACTTGACTGTAATTCGAACTATTGTGTATATTAATAAGAAATAATATCGCATTAAAAAATCCATTTTAAAATTACTAGATAAAGATGTAGAGAACACGGTTAAAAATTGTAGAAAAAAATGAAGGCAGTGTCACTTAAATCTCAATTCTATGCAAAAGTAGAAAGAAAATGGACAAATAGTGAGCGTTAAAAAATGGGGAATTAAAATAAAAAGCAAGTGATGAAGATGAATAGAAGCAAATACGATTAAGTGGGTGAAGTAAGTCAAAACAAAAAAAATAAGGAAGGTATGTCTGGCCGTAGTGACAAAAATAAAGCTTAAAAAGGCGGGAAGTAAAAAAAACAACAGAAAAACTTGAAAGTTGTCTATGAAGTTGAACCAAAAGCTAAACCCGAGAAAAGGAATCGGCAAAGAAAATGGTGAATGAAAGAAAAATGGTCCAAAAAATAATCTTATTGAGTGATAAAGAAATAAACTGGACAAAGGAATGCTTGCTGAGAGAAAGAAACTGAAGCATGGGAAAAAATGGTCAACTAACAAGACAAGAATGCAACACGAGAAATACCAAAAAAGATAAAACCAAAGAGAGCACTAGAGATAAAACTAAAAAAGAAGAAAGATAGAAAATAGATGAAAAGCAAAAAAGATTGAAGGACAGGTAGCATTTATCAAACAAATGTTAGGAATAAATATATCGACAAAGAAAAAAAAGGTATAAGAAAATTTTGGGAAAAAATGTTAATAAAAAATGATAAACTCGTGGAAGGCGAATAACAGAGTAAGAGAATAGAAAAATGATAGAATATAAAATAAAACACCAAAAAAATCGCGAAAAGGGAAAAAAAGACACCTCTAATGGATGGACAATAAGTGCGAAGAAAAGAATCTCTAAAACGGAGAATCCGAACGAGTAAATGCGGAAACAATCAAAATGGCCGAAAGGCAAATGGGGTAAAGAAGAAAAAAAAACAAAAAACGGACGACATTTTGCTCATTTTCTTTTTCTCTGCACATCACAGTGTCACATGACTTCCGCTAGAATCTCATAAATGTCGGACGAAGATGGAAGTAAATCCGCTGGCTGTTCACAGTTGCATTCGGTTGCGCCGTTGGCTCTGAGCCTAAAAAAAAATAAAAGTGTACGATCTTCCGCAAATGTTAGGCGTTGCGAGGTCAACGAGAGGAAGAGATAGACTAGTGTTAAAAAAAAATGGAGAAGATAGGGAAAAGTAAACATGGCCATATCAGGAAGGAAGTGAACAGGAAATAGATGCTGAAAAATGGCTGGATGAAGAAGAGCTAGATGGGCGGGAAGAGAAAGAGTAAAAGGGAAAAAAAAAGAAAATAGAGACAAAAATATAATTGAAAAGTAAAAAAAAATTAAAAGGCAAATTAAAACAAGGGAACTTCTAAAGTAAGATAACGTGAATATATAAACATTTAAATACTTTCTTTTTATGTGCTGTGCCTTATGGGACGTGGGCGATCATGGCTCTCCTCTTCCCCCCAACCCTTGGTTCGTCCCTCGGTCACCTCCCCCAGACCACATTCTGTCATCCACTTGCTTAAGCCTGCTACGTATGTCATGCATTGCACTCTCTTTGTCTCTCTTTCCCTCTATTCGACCCGTGAGTATCAGATCCTCCAGGCCCTCCTTTCTCATTACGTGTCCCAGAAATTTCAGCGGCCTCTTCTACAGAAAAAAAAAGAAAGAGGATAAAAAGAAAGTACTAAGAAATTAGGAAGAATTTATAGAAAGAAAGGAGAAGCGAATGAGGAAAAAAACAAAAAGAAAGAAGAAAATGACTGAGATAGAAAGAATTAAAAAGAAAAAAGAAGACAAAAAAAAATAAGAAAGAAAAAAAAGTAATAAAACGTTTAGAAAAAGAAAACTCGGTTCACACTCCTCCCCGATCTTTTGACCAGGAGTAGAGCTTTATTGTTTGTTTGCTGTATAGGATAAGTTTTCAGGCTCCTTTTAAAGTGAATTTTTTTTTTATTTCGCTTTCACTTGCTTTAGTCCTTGGCGTCTTAGTGGTATTAACATTTTGCTTGGTGTGAATTGATTAAAAAAATAAAATGGTGGAAATTAAGATATTAAAAATCTTCTTTTCATGCTTCAGAGCTGAAAACATTACATCCGTTGTTTTTTTTTTGTTTTTGTTTTTGTTTTTTTGTTCATTGTCTAAAACCAAATTTCGACGCAGGTACAAAGCCATAATTTCAAATGCTGTTTTTCAAGGGATACTTCTCAAGCCATTACTAGCAATTATTTTGCTATTCTCTATTTCCTTGTGAACTGGCCTTGTGCCAGACAAATCTATGCCTAGAAATGAGAAAACATGACGAAAATTATATGTGACTGAGAAGAATATAATGCTTAAGAAACTAGCGCAATGGTTTAAAAGTAATTATTTGTTTTCAAAAAACTCGAAAATAACAGACATTCTGTTTTTCCTGACGCAAAAAAAAAGAAAATTGAATATTTTTGGCGCACCCGTTGGCCTAGCAAACATATTAACGCAATATGCCAGCAAACAGAATCATGGGATTAACTTGTGGTTTTATTAGAAACAAAAAAATATATATATTTTTAATCTTCCACACATTTTCTCTCTCTCTCTCACTCTCTCATTCTTTCTCTCTTTCTTTCTTTCACTCTCTTTCTCTCTCTCTCTTTCTCGTTTGGCTTTTTTTCCCTATGAATTATTCTTCCACTCTCCAATCATTTCACCTGCTTCATCTGAAAATATATAAATTTACCATCTTGGATTTGTTGGAATATTTGCAGCTGCGTTTTCCAATTCTGGACATCATCCAGCAGTGGGATGGCTAGAACGCTTTTTTCTCCATCTAAATAGCATTTTGATTTTCAAACGGTCCTGGATAAGTGCCTCCGTTGATTTTTTTTTCCGTTATCCTCGGTCAAAACAAATTAATATTATTCCCAGAGGGCTATAGAATTTATGCTGGCAATCCGAAGATATAAAGAGGAAACCTGAATGTACTTCCTTTAAGTGAAAACTGAAATGTCTTGTCCCTTCAGGACGTCGGCGACAAAGGCACCCGACAAATTTCTTTTTCTTATCTGCGAATTGCTTTGACTTCTTGGAAATGATACGGTCGTTAATTTCCTGTCGCCTTTTTTACGGCTTTTAATTCAGTTTTCCTTCTCTTAGATTGGTTATCACCTTTTAATAGAACGTTTGAACTCTAACCATATGATACGAGTTCGAATTTTATCATGGAATTCTTTCAATATTATATCATCAGATAAGAATTTTACTATCAATCCCTTTAGTCCTTAGTTGTTTCGCATTCCTGTGACGTCCTGACAATAGCTCATAAATATTGGACTATTCCGTTTTAAACTCGTGAAGACACAGATGTGGCATATTAGGGACGCTACTTGGTTTCAGTGAGAATATAAAAGAACAGAAGAAAGATAGGCTTTAAAGTCTAATTAAATTAAATGAAAATATCGTCAATTTCAAATCTTTTTATAGTCAAATCAATAATTTTAAAATTGTGAAGCTCAAATATTTATCGATGCGATAGTAGAATTTCTTCATTATTTTTATGTGCCACGTCCTTTCAGGACGCAGTCGATCATGGCTCTCCAACTCACTTTATCCTTTGCAGCTCTCAACAAGTTCTTTCCATTCACTTGCTTAATCCGCTAGGTATATCACGCGTTGTTTTCCCTTGTTTCTCTCTTTCCCCCTATTCGACTCGTGGGTATCAGATTCTCTAGGCTCTCCTTCCTCATTATGTGCCCCAGACACTTCATCTGCCTCTTCCTGATATTAAGTATAAACCTCCTCCTTGTTTACAACTTCTCTAAGATATCATCGTTGCTCACACGCTCTGTCCAGGATGTCCTAAGCATCCTTCTGTGGAACCACATCTCAATCGCCTCGAGTCTCTTCTTCATCTTTGAGGAAATCGTCCAACATTCGCTGCCGTAAAGGAGGACAGATATTATGTAACAGCTCAGTATTCTTTTCTTTGTTACAAAAGATATCCTCCTGTCTCGCAGTACTATGTCCAGCTTTTGGAATGTGTCCTTGGCTATCTCAATACGTCTACGGATCTCAGTGTGTCACATCGTCCTCTGTCAAGAGGCTTCCCAGATATTTCAACTTTCGCGTCTGCTTGATTCCAGACTTCAAATCGCATTTACTACGCATATGTTTTTTGTTGTAGAACTCGCCTTGAGCTTGTCCAATTATTAACTGAAGAATTAAGATTAATCAGAATAATAAAATAGAAAACCGTGAAATTCCCACGGGTCTTTCAAGTTATTTTTTTCTATTTTATCCTTATTTGTCTTCCTTACTAAACGCCTCACAATTTTGGCCTTGTGCCACATCTAAGCTAAGCTTAGAAAATCACCTTATTTTTCTTCGTTGTGTAGGATATAAATTAAAATGCACCATGTGTATACCTGTATGTATGCGTGTACATATAATTCAATGGACGCGTTGTAAGTGCTTGGAACATTGGCTTTCCGGCCATGAGACCCTCTTCGCTTTATCAGGAAGACGACTTCTTGATTTTATCCGTCTGGGGACCGGTGGCTTTTGAAAGTGTTTGATCGAAGTCTTATAAGGGAGACTGTATAAACGAAACAGTTTGGAAGCCAGCGGGATGGCAAAAGTCATCGAGAACTTTGTCCAATCTGTTGATCATATCAGATTATGCTTTCTCTTTCGCTCTCTCCCTCCCAGAAACTCCATTCCACCGAACGAAGTCGCAGCATAAGCCATAGATGTTGCTCTGTGAGTGTTGAGCAAACACCAATGTACATGTTCCTCCACATCTTCCTGTCCCTTGTAACTCTTAAGAAGATTTGTCTTTTTGTTATTTCTCCCATCCCTGTTCCGCCATCCATTTGCTCAAGCTCATTCTTCTTCTTCTGTGTATGGTGTCTCTTCAGGATGTAGGCGATCATGACCCTCCACATTTTCCTATCCCTTCTGTTCTTAATAAGTTTTATCTTTTTGTTATTTCTCTTAAACCCTGTTCCGCCATCCATTTACTCAAGCTCATTCTTCTTCTTTTGTGTACCGTGTCTGTTCAGGACGTAGGCGATCATGGCCCTCCACATCTTCCTATCCTTTTAGTTCTTAATAAGTTTTATCTTTTTGTTATTTCTCTCAAACCCTCTTCTGCCACCCATTTACTCGAGCTCATTCTTCTTCTTCTTCTGTGTACTGTGTCTCTTCAAGCCGCAAGCGATCATGGCCCTCCACATCCTCCTGTCCCTTAAGCTCAGGTTGTTGACGATCATGACCATACACATCGTACTGTCCGTTTTAGGTCTGTATAATCTTATTATTTTTGTTATTTCTCCCAAAACCCTCTTCTACTATCCATTTAATCGAACTAATTCTTCTTTTTTTAAGTACCGTGTGCCTTCAAGTCATAGGCGATCATGGCCCTCCACATCTTCCTGTCTCTTGTAGCTCTTAATAAGTTTTGTCTTTTTTTTTATTTCTACCAAACCTTGTTCCACTGCCAATTTAGTCAAGTATGGTGTCACTTTAAACGATAGATAATTTTAGAAAAAATGCTATTCACATATAGCAATTATCTCCCTTTAATTCACTCTTCAAAATGTGTAGATTTTGACGGAGTGAAGATTTTATATAACGGCTTCGGTGAAGCCAGTTTTTGGATAAATTAATGTCCGTTATGAACTGCCCCCGTGTCTCTTATTTTGTTAATGAATAGCATATACAAGATACACACTTTTACTGTGTATAGCGCAACTCAACTTGGTTTCCTTGCAGATTTACACGTTAGTATTGCAAATTACACCCAAGATTAACTTTGAACAAAGAAATTCGTCCTCATATTCTAGTGGAAGTACGAAAATGCAGTTGAATTTTGAAGGCGGTATCGAAGAGTTTCATTCAGATCCACCCACGCGGCTTACAATCTCACGAATTAGATTATATTTGATGCTGATTATACCTGTACATGATGTTTACAAGAACCGTTTCGGAAGACCATGGATCTTAAACACGCGCTCTGAATGAAGAAAAAGTGATGGAGTGTTTTCACAGAAGTTCAAGAAACCTATCTAATGTCGATAGGTTCTTGTGATTCCAATTCCTCTCGTTATTTGTAATGAATGAATGATAACGGAAATCATGAAAGCATATTAAAAGCATGCACTTATAATAAATAATGTCTGCATATTCATTATTTGATTTAGACTAGCAGCATGACCCGGCGTTGCCCGTGCTTGATTCAAAAATCGTACGACTCATGCAGCAATTGCTATCACTTTACTTAAAATATTTTTGCCCTTCCTTGCCTTTAAAGGAGTGCCCTTTTCGGTGCTGATGTTGCTACATGCCTTATTTCTTGTTTATCTCACACTGCGAATTTTTTCTAAGCTCTATACTAAACATTAAATCTATTACGAAAAAAGAACTAAACAAAATGAACACAAAACGATCAGCTTTAAAAAAATAACTCGTAACTGGAAAAACCGAATGAAAAAAGAATGTTAACAACAAATACTTTTTCACACCCAACCCAGTTCTGCGGAATCAGAATCAACGTTGAGTTTAAGCAAACGAATGAGCCAATTGGAGTAAAGTGCCATGCAGATTTAAATTTTTCCCACTTGTGACGAATGCAGCTATCGATTTGTTTTGCGTGCTAGCATGCTAGTTAACATTCGTGTCTATCAGCTGTTGGCTCTCACGCTGACCAATAGAATCTTCCTACCTATTCGTGGCAGCCAGCTATTGGCTCTCACACTGACCAGTAGAAAATGGCCGCAGACTACATGAAAACTGCCGTAGAAGCATGAAAAATCGATTATTTCCACTATCGATGGGAGTTGGGAAATGGAATGTCGGTCTTGGCCTTCCCACTAACTTGGAGCATGTGCATGTAGATTTTGGTGCAAATCCGTCGAAAATTGCGGCCGTGCATTCGTTACACACAAACATATATCTTGCCTTTTATAGACAGAGATATAGCTGGTTCTATTTGCTAGAATCATTTGTCAAGAAAGCTTCAAAACTAATATAATGGAATATGCATACGCCTGTGTTCCACCTCACTGAAATATGATTGTCTGGTGTCCGTCATAAATACCGACGGACGTGTAGGAGAGTCAGAGGAGTTAAGAGCCTTAGTCTGAGAGCTAAGTCTATAACGATGGCCATTGGACTACACCATTGATCTACACTTCATACCTGCGACTACGACGTGTACCAGTCGATTACTGCTACCTTATTCTACTTGGTTACAGTAGCCAAAACCACTTAGCTACTTCGTTCAAATATATCCCTTTCGGGGACATATCAAAAAACATGTAGACATATTTTGAGATTTGGGATTTGCATCGTCTAAAGTTGAGATTTGTAACATAGATGAAAATCTGCACAAAATATTGTCTCTAATAAAGGTTGACATGTAAGATTTGCACGTGTACGAGTCCACCTTTTGTCTATGAATTGAATAATGCTGGCACATCTTGTCTGGTTCTTCTGCTATGTCTTGAGAGCCTTGTATTGGGATAAAGTGTCGTTAATGAAAATGTAGTTTGAACAAAGATCACCTGTGAGAAAAACACAGGTGATTCCATATCTAATAAGTAGACTAAGTGAGCGTAAAGAAAAGTTATATATGGGAATTAACGTGGCTTTGGTTTGTTTCTTTTCCTCCTGTCGCGTCGTCCAAATCACCATTCGGGCCGTGGCCAGCAGAGTCAGAAAAGCCATTCGTTTCACCCCAGAATACGGGGGTGACACATTGTCACACGCATATGCGCGATCAATGAGCACAAGCTGTTCGGGATCGAGACGAGCCGTCAAATCGCCGACATGGTCCCATAAGCGGCGGACCCGGGGACAATGATAGAAGGCGTGCGAAGCCTTTTCTTCTAAACCAAGGTCACACCGTTCACAGTCTGGCAACTCTGTCAAGCCCTATATGAAGACCATGTCATTGATAGGTAGCTGATTCCGAGCCAATCGCCAGCTTAGCGAAAATTCAGGGTTGCTGAGATAATGTGCCGCTGGCGTCCAAGACCAGAAAGAACGAAACTCCTCCTCCGATAAGTCTAGCCGCTCACGTAGAGGATCCTTCGCGACCCACTTCACTAAATAACGATAGAAGACCTTCCTAGGGCTTGAAAGGTCACTGGACTCGAATGAGATACTATTAGTATCTGCGATTCCAAAGTCTCGACTACAACGAGAATTACGAACGTGAAAACGATCATTCGTTGACAACACAAAAGCGACAACGATGAAGGCGTCTGACATTAAAAAATATTCTTAATGAAATACAAAGAAGAACCTGCAATGTTATTGGTCTTGACCTGTCGTAATGGCGTCAATCACTTTCACGCCGCCATAATATAGATTCTCCGGATCATATTATAAATATTTACAGAGTAATTGTTTTGATGAGCTTTGTTCTAAGAAACCTAAACTTCATACATTTAATCGCACTACTAGATTGACGGTCTTATTATTTTACCGTTGGAATAACTATATATAACCGTAATTTCTATGCTAACAGTTTCTTCTCTCGAAATATTGCGTTTGTGGAAATTTCTTCTGGCTTCTTGCTTTCCAGTCAACTTTGATCTTCGAATATTTAAAAGTTATCTCTCTTCTCCTAATTCCTGTTCTTTTATTGTTCTTTAATACGGTTTTCTTTTTATCTTTTTTTTTTATATTCTTTCACACTCAGTAGTACCTTGCGTCTTAGTGGCTTTATTGCCTTACTTGAGGTGAAATGATAAAAAAGGGTAAAAAGTCCATGTATATTTTAGCTCAAATGAGAAATATCAGAACTTTGTTCTTTCATCGTCATATTGGGATTTTTCCTCCCGTTAGCATTATAAATGATCTGCTCTTCGACTTCCGGTATGAGAAACCAACTTCCTCTTCCGTTTTGATTAGTGACAATAAAACACTTTATTAAAACCTGTCACCGAAGTCTTGGACCATACCAATGGTATAATAGAAACGTCGATAAAATGAAGAATGTTGAATATTTTCCAAAGGTTACCTTAATTTCCCGTGGGGATTTATCCCAAAACATAATTGCGCAACGAAACAGACGCTGAGCTCTTTAATAAATGGCGTTACGACGATGACAGTTGAAAAGCATTTAATAAGTCAAGCATTTAGTAAGTATATGAATCGAGATTTTTTTTGTATTTTTTTTTATCATTAATCATTGCTGACTCATGGTGATATACATGTGACAAGTATCCCGGCTAAAGCGATTTAATTTTAAGATAAATTTCAGTATGACAAACACCGGAAAATATCCAATTAAATTTTAAACTCCGGATTTTTATTGTCCAGTTTATTTTAAGAGAAAAGTTATCTTATGAGTTTGTCCCTTGCTAGATATCTATTAAGGTATCTACAATCTAATGGACAGCATTAGTTATCTCAAAACGAACTTTTCTTTCGTGTTCGTCTAAGTAATTTCAAACAATTGTTCTGAGATAGATAATCATTAGTTCAAATGCATTGCATTAAAATGTTGTTCCAAAATGAACAGCATTGGTTAAAATGGCGATATTTTATTGAGGATATATTTACTTGTTGAGAAAGAAAGAAAGAAAGAAAGAAAGAAAGAAAGAAAGAAAGAAAGAAAGAAAGAAAGAAAGAAAAAGCAAAACAGAAGAACTAGAAAATTAAGATAAATAATTAAAAATGGAAAATGAATGAAGAAAAAAGAAAGAAAGAAAGAAAGAACAATAGAGAAAGGCCAGAGGAAGAATTGAAAAGGCAGATAGTAAGATTGAAGAAAAATGCAGAAAGAAAAAACAAGGAAGACAATGGTAGAAAAGGAAATAAACAAAGAAAATGTTAGCGAAAATGGATAAAAGACAAAAAAAAACAAGGAAACCAAAGGCAAAACAAAGAACAAAAGTTGAGAAGGAAAGAATAGAATGCTACAGGCAGAAAGAAAAAAAAGAACACAACAGAAAAAGAGAAAGAAATAACATAAAAGATTGAAACAAAAGAAAGAATAAACACGTCAGAAAAACAAACGAAAAAAAGAAAGATGGAGAACAAAAGAATGAAGCGAAGGAAATAACACAAACGAATGAGACCAGAGAAGGAAATAAAAAATGAAAAATGAAAAGAACAAGAAAAGAAAAAACAAAGAAAAAAAGAAAGAAAGAAAGAAAGAAAGAAAGAAACAAAAAACATGAAGAAAAAAGAAAGAAAGAATGAAAGAAAGAACATCAAAGAAAAAAAGAAAGAAAGAAAGAAAGAAATCAAAAATACAAAAGATGAAGAAAGAAAGAAAGAAAGAAAGAAAGAAAGAAAGAAAATCAAAGAAAAAACTAAAAGAAAAAGAAAGAAAAAAAAGAACACAAAAAGATGAAGGAAAGAAAAAGAAAAGATGAAGGAAAAGAAAAAACATCAAAGAAAAAAAACTAAAGAAAAAAAAGAAAGAAAAAAAAGAAACAAAAAAAGAAAAAGGAAAAAGAAAGAAAGAAAGAAAAAAAAGAAGATCAAAGAAAAAAAGAAAGAAAGAAAGGAAAGAAAGAAAGAACAAAAAAGAACTAAAGAAAAGAAAAAAAAGAAAGAAAAGAAAGAAAGAAAGAAAGAAAAAAACAAAGAAAAGAACATCAAAGAAAAAAAAAACTAAAGAAAAGAAAGAAAAAAGAACATCAAAAAAAAACTAAAGAAAGAAAAGAAAGATGAAAAGATGAAGAAAGAAAGAAAGAAAACAAAAGATGAAAGAAAAAAAAGAAAGAAAGAACACAAAAGAAAAGAACAAGAAAAAAAAAAACATCAAAGAAAAAATTGGAAGAAAGAAAGAAAGAAAAAAAAAATAAAAAAAATGAAAGAAAGAAAGAACACAAAAGAAAGAAAAGAAAGAAAGAAAGAAACATCAAAGAAAAAAAAAAAAAAGAAAGAAAGAAAGAACAAAAAGATGAAAGGAAAGAAAGAAAGAAGGAAAGAAAGAACATCAAAGAAAAAACTAAAGAAAAAAGAAAGAAAAGAAACAAAAGATGACAAAAAAGAAAGAAAGAAAAAACAAAGAAAAAAAAAGAAAGAACATCAAAAGAAAAACAAAAAGAAAGAAAGAAAAAAAAGAAAGAAAGAAAGAAAGAACAAAAAGAAAAAACTAAAAAGAAAAGAAAGAAAGAAAGGACACAAAAGATGAAGGAAAGAAAGAAAGAAAAGAAAGAAATCAAAGAAAAAAAAAAAAAAAAGAAAGGAAAAAAAAAAGAAAGAAAGAAAAAAGAAAAACATCAAAGAAAAAAAAGAAAAAAAAGAAAAAGAAAGAAAGAAGAAATGAAAAAGAAAGAAAAAGAAAGAAAGAAAGAACATCAAAGAAAAAACTAAGGAAAAAAAGAAAGAAAGAACACAAAAGATGAAGCGAAAGAAAGAAAGAAAGAAAGAAAAGAAAGAACATCAAAAAAAAAAAAAGGAAAGAAAGAAAGAAAAAAAGATGAAGAAAGAAAGAAAGAAAAAAAGAAAAGAAAGAAAAAACTAAAGAAAGAAAGAAAGAAAGAAAAAAAAAAAGAAAGAAAGAAAGAAAGAACATCAAAGAAAAAACTAAAGAAAGAAAGAAAGAAAGGACACAAAAGATGAAGCGAAAGAAAGAAAGAAAGAAAGAAAGAACATCAAACAAAAAAAAGAAAGAAAGAACACAAAAGAAAGAAAAAAGAAAGAAAAAAGAAAAGAACATCAAAGAAAACTAAAGAAAGAAAGAAAGAAAGAAAGAACAAAAAGATGAAAGAAAAAAAGAAAAAAAAGAAAGAAAGAAAGAAAAGAACACAAAAGATGAAAAAACAAAAAGAAAGAAAAAAAAAGAAAGAAAGAAATATCAAAAGAAAAAACTAAAAGAAAAAAGAAAGAAAGAACACAAAAGATGAAAAAAAAAGAAAGAAAGAAAGAAAGTAAGAAAAAAGAAAGAAAGAAAGAAAGAAAGAACATCAAAGAAAAAACTAAAGAAAGAAAGAAAGGACACAAAACATGAAGCGAAAGAAAGAAAGAAAGAAAGGACATCAAAGAAAAAAAAAGAAAGGAAAAAAATACAAAGAAAAAAACAAAAAAGAAAAAGAAAAAAAACAAAGAAAGAAAAAAGAAAGAAAAGAAAAGAAAGAAAGAAAGAACATCAAAGAAAAAACTAAAGAAAGAAAGAAAGGACACAAAAGATGAAGCGAAAGAAAGAAAGAAAGAAAGAAAGAACATCAAAGAAAAAACTAAAGAAAGAAAGAAAGAACACAAAAGATGAAGCGAAAGAAAGAAAGAAAGAAAGAACATCAAAGAAAAAACTAAAGAAAGAAAGAAAGAAAGAAAGAAAGAACAAAGAAGAAAGAAAAACTAAAGAAAGAAAGAAAGAAAAGAAAGAAAGAAAGAAAGAAGAAAGAACAACATCAAAGAAAAAAAACTAAAGGAAAAAAGAAAGAAAGAACACAAAAAGATGAAGGAAAAAAAAGAAAGAAAGAAAGAAAGAACATCAAAGAAAAAAAAAGAAAGAAAGAAAGAAAGAACACAAAAGATGAAAGAAAGAAAGAAAGAAAGAAAGAAAAAAAAATCAAAGAAAAAAAAAAGAAAGAAAGAAAAAAAGAAAGAAAGATGAAAAAGAAAGAAAGAAAAGAAAGAAAAAAAAAAACTAAAGAAAAAAAAAGAAAGAAAGAAAGAACACAAAAGATGAAGAAAGAAAGAAAGAAAGAAAGAAAAAAAAAAGAAAAAAAGAAAGAAAGAAAGAAAGAAAAAGAAAAAAAAAAGAAAAACTAAAGAAAGAAAGAAAGAACAATAAAAGAAAAAAAAAAAAAACTAAAGAAAAAAGAAAGAAAGAAAGAAAGAAAGAACATCAAAGAAAAAAAACCAAAGAAAAAAAGAAAAAAAGAAAGAAAAGAAAGAAAGAAAAAAGATGAAAAGAAAGAAAGAAAAAGAAAGAAAGAAAGAAAAAAAAAAGAAAGAAAAACTAAAGAAAGAAAGAAAGGACAACAAAAGATGAAAACTAAAAGAAAGAAAGAAAGAAAGAAAGAAAGAAAAGAAAAAAAAAGAAAGAAAGAAAAGAAAAAGAACAAAAAAGAAAAAAGAAAGAAAGAAAAGAAAAAAGAAGGAAAGAAAAGAAAGGAAAGAAACATCAAAGAAAAAACTAAAGAAAGAAAAGAAAGAAAACAAAAAGAAAGAAAAGGAAAAAGATGAAAGAAAAAACTAAAAGAAAGAAAGAAAGAAAGAAATACAAAAGAAAGAAAGAAAGAAAGAAAAGAACATCAAAGAAAAAAAAAGAAAGAAAGAAAGAAAGAAAAGAAAAGAAAGAAAAAGAAAAAAAGGAAAGAAAGAAAGAAGGAAAGAAAGAAAAAGAAAATCAAAGAAAAAAGAAAACAAAAGAAAGAAAGAAAGAAAGATCAAAGAAAGATGAAGGAAAGAAAGAAAGAAGGAAAGAAAGAAAGAAAACAAAGAAAAAAGAAAGAAACTACATAAAAGAAAAAACTAAAGAAAGAAAGAAAACAAAAGATGAAGGAAAGAAAAAAGAAAGAAAGAAAGAAAGAAAAAACAAAAGAAAAAAAAGAAAGAAAGAAAGAAAGAAAGAACACAAAAGATGAAAAAAAAGAAAGAAAGAAAAACATCAAAGAAAGAACATCAAAAAAAAAGAAAAACACAAAAGAAAGAAAGAAAGAAAAGAACAAAAAAAATGAAGGAAAAAAGAAAGAAAAGAAAAGAAAGAAAAATCAAAAGAAAAAAGAAAAGAAAGAAAGAAAGAAAGAAAGAAAGAAAGAATCAAAAAAACTAAACTAAAGAAAAAGAAAAGAAAAAAGAAAGAACATCAAAAAAAAAAGAAAGAAAGAAAGAAAAAAAGAAAAAAAACAAAAGAAAGAAAGAAAGAAAGAAAAAACATCAAGAAAGAAAAAGAAAGAAAGAAAAAAAAAAAGAAAGAAAAAAAAAAAGAACATCAAAGAAAAAGAAAGAAAGAACAAAAAGAAAGAAAAGAAAGAACAACATCAAAGAAAAAAAGAAAGAAAAAAATAAAAAGAAAGAAAGAAAAAGAAAGCAAAAGAAAAGATCAAAAGAAAAGAAAAAACATCAAAGAAAAACTAAAGAAAAAAAAAAAAAGAACACAAAAGATGAAGGAAAGAAAAAGAAAGAAAGAAAGAACATCAAAAAAAAAACTAAAGAAAGAAAGAAAAAACACAAAAGATGAAGCAAAAAGAAAGAAAGAAAAGAAAAGAACATCAAAGAAAAAAAAGAAAGAAAGAAAGAAAGAACACAAAGAAAGAACAAGAAAGAAAAAAAGAAAGAAAGAAAAAAAAAAAGAAAAAAGAAAAGAACAAAAAGATGAAGAAAGAAAGAAAGAAAGAAAGAAAGAACATCAAAGAAAAAAACTAAAGAAAGAAAAGAAAAAGAAAGAAAGAAAGAAAAGAAAGAAGGAAAGAAAAGAAAGAAAAAAAAAGAAACAAAAAAGAAAGAAAAAACTAAAGAAAGAAAGAAAAGAAAAAGATGAAGCGAAAGAAAGAAAGAAAGAAAAAAAGAAAGAAAGAAAAAAAGAACATCAAAGAAAAAACTAAAGAAAGAAAGAAAGAACACAAAACATGAAGCACAAAAAGATGAAAGAAAGAAATCAAAGAAAAAAAAGAAAGAAAGAAAGAACAAAAGAAAGAAAAAAAAGAAAGAAAGAAAAACAAAGAAAGAAAAAAAAAAAGATGAAGGAAAGAAAGAAAGAAAGAAATCAAAAGAAAACAAAAGAAACATCAAAGAAAAAAAGATGAAGCGAAAGAAAGAAAAGAAGAAAGAAAGAAAAACTAAAGAAAGAACACAAAAGATGAAGGAAAGAAAAGAAAGAAAGAAAAGAAAGAACATCAAAGAAAAAACTAAAGAAAGAAAGAAAGAAAGAACACAAAAAAAGCGAAATGAAGGAAAGAAAGAAAGAAAAAGAAAAAAAAGAAAAAAAATCAAAGAAAAAAACTAAAGAAAGAAAGAAAGAAAGAACAAAAAAGAAATCAAAGAAAGAAAGAAAGAAAGAACATCAAAGAAAAAAAAAAAGAAAAAAAGAAATCAAAGAAAAAAAAGAAAAAAGAAAGAACACAAAAGATGAAGCGAAAGAAAGAAAGAAAGAAAGAAAGAACATCAAAGAAAAAACTAAAGAAAGAAAGAAAGAAAGAACACAAAAGATGAAGCGAAAGAAAGAAAGAAAAGAAAAAAAAAGAAAGAACAAAGAAGAAAAAACTAAAGAAAGAAAGAAAGAAAGAAAGAAATAAAAAAGATGAAGGAAAAAAAAGAAAGAAAGAAAGAAACATCAAAGAAAAAAAGAAAAAAAGAAAGAAAAAAGAAAGAAAAGAACACAAAAGATGAAGGAAAGAAAGAAAGAAAGAAAAAGAAAAGAAACATCAAAGAAAAAAAGAACATAAAGAAAAAAAAGAAAGAAAGAAAGAACAACAAAAAAGATGAAGGAAAGAAAGAAAGAAAGAAAGAAAGAAAGAACATCAAAGAAAAAACTAAAGAAAGAAAGAAAGAAAGAACAAAAAAAAAGATGAAAAAAAAAAACTAAAGAAAGAAAAGAAAGAAAGAACATCAAAGAAAAAAAGAAAAACTAAAGAAAAAGAAAGAAAGAAAAAGAAAGAAAGAAATACAAAAGATGAAGGAAAGAAAAAAAAGAAAGAAAGAAAGAACATCAAAGAAAAAACACAAAGAAAGAAAGAAAGAAAGAAAAGAAAAGAACATCAAAGATGAAGAAAAGAAAGAAAGAAAGAAAGAAAGAAAGAAAGAAAGAACATCAAAGAAAAAACTAAAGAAAGAAAGAAAGAAAGAACACAAAAGATGAAGCGAAAGAAAGAAAGAAAGAAAGAAAGAAAGAACATCAAAGAAAAAACTAAAGAAAGAAAGAAAGAAAGAAATACAAAAGATGATGAAAGAAAGAAAAAGAACATCAAAGAAAAAAACTAAAAGAAAGAAAGAAAGAAAAACAAAAGAAAACAAAGGAAAGAAAGAAAGAAAGAAAAAGAACATCAAAGAAAAAACTAAAGAAAGAAAGAAAGAAAGAACACAAAAGATGAAGCGAAAGAAAGAAAGAAAGAAAGAAAGAACATCAAAGAAAAAAAGCAAGAAAGAAAAGAAAGAAAAGAAATAACAAAAAAGATGAAAGAAAGAAAGAAAAAAGAAAAACAAAGAAAAAACTAAAGAAAGAAAGAAAGGAAAAAAAGATGAAGGAAAAGAAAGAAAGAAAGAAAGAAAGAAAAAAAAAGAACATCAAAGAAAAAACTAAAAGAAAGAAAGAAAGAAAGAAAAAAAAGAAAAAACTAAAGAAAGAAAGAAAAAGAACACAAAGAAAGAAAGAAAGAAAGAAAGAAAGAACATCAAAGAAAAAACTAAAGAAAGAAAGAAAGAAAGAACACAAAAGATGAAGCGAAAGAAAGAAAGAAAGAAAAGAACATCAAAGAAAAAACTAAAGAAAGAAAGAAAGAAAGAACACAAAAGATGAAGCGAAAGAAAGAAAGAAAGAAAGAAAGAAAGATCAAAGAAAAAAAAGAACAAAGAAAGAAAAAAGAAAGAAAAAAAAAGACAAAAGAAAAACTGAAGAAAGAAAGAAAGAAAGAAAAGAAAGAAAGAAAGAAAGAAAGAAAGAACATCAAAGAAAAAACTAAAGAAAGAAAGAAAGAAAGAACACAAAAGATGAAGCGAAAGAAAGAAAGAAGGAAAGAAAGAACATCAAAGAAAAAACTAAAGAAAGAAAGAAAGAAAGAACACAAAAGATGAAGCGAAAGAAAGAAAGAACATCAAATAAAAAACTAAAGAAAGAAAGAAAGGACACAAAAGATGAAGCGAAAGAAAGAAAGAAAGAAAGAAAGAAAGAAAGAAAGAAAGAAAGAACATCAAAGATAAAACTAAAGAAAGAAAGAAAGAAAGAAAGAACATAAAAGATGAAGCGAAAGAATGAACACAACCAAAACAAACGAAAGTAATTAAGACAAAAACACAAAGGAATAAAGTAATAAAAAAGAAAGAACACAAGAGTATAGGAAAGAAAGAAAGAAAGAAAAGGGAGTTTTTTTAAAGAAAAATCAAGGACAAAAAGAAAAAAATGGAAAGACTAGAAAAGTGCAATACATGATAAGAAAGAACAAAAATGAAGAAAGAAAGGAAAGAAAAAAGAAATAACACGTAGAAAGAAATAACGAAAGAAAGGAAGCATGAACAAAAGAATGAATAACATCTGACTAACATTAGAAGTTGAAAACGAAAAACTTAAAAATCGAATCTTACAAAATAGTGTGTCTATTTTAGCCCCATTCTAATCTCATCCATCTAGCATATTCGTTTTCTAAACTGCTTCCGACATGGACGATGCTCGCTTATGACGCCATTGCGTCCATAGAAGCTTATCAAGCATATCACAAACTTTCAGAGAGTTTAAATATCTCCAAGGAAAAAAGAAAGCAGCTAAAAAGACCTGAAAAACTAATAAAATCATTAAAATGAATGTACCTTGCAAGGCGAAGAAAGAAGATGAACGAAGGAAGAAACGACAGTAAAGTGAAAAAATAAAACAAACAATAACGACATTTTAAATAATGTTAAATAAACAGCAGTTAAAAGTCTGTAGTTCTTTTTTTTTAGTTGGCAAAACCAGACGTCGGCCTATATATAGAGGGATTGGTTGATGAAGATACGATAATATTACGCACGCACAGAGGAAAAGTGTCGTAGACAGATACAAGGCCGCTCTGTTCTAGGGATCACGCTCGGTTAAGAGGGTTTTGGAAAGAGAAATCAATAAAATAGTTTTGTTTTGACGATATATATATATATATAAATATATATATATATATATATATATATATATATATATATATAAATACACACACACAAACACACATATATATATATAAAATGATATATACACACACACTCACACATATATATATATAAAGGATATACGATATATAAAGTGTGTGAATGTGTATATATATATTTTTAAAATATATATACACACAAAAACATACACATATATATATATATACACACACCACACGTCACACACACACATTATGTATGTGAAGTGTGTGTGTATATAAAAAATTATATATATGTGTATATATATACACACACACGCACACATAATATATATATAAATATATATATAGACACACACCACACACACGCACGCGCACACACACACACACACATATATATATATATATATATATATATATATATATATATATATATATATATATATTGCCGTTATTTGAATAATTTTCCCTGCTAGATTTGAGATATTAGGTGGTTTTGTTTCTTTTTCTCAAAATCCAATTTTTAATCTTCCTCACAATTTTACTGCCTTTATTCAAAAAATTTTATTACTCGCCTATATCTCTGAGATGAGGTATTATGATTGCTTGCATTATTTACATTATTTGGACTGTTATCCTCATCTTCATTGCCATACCCACAACGTTTCGCCCGTTAGTGAACGTATTTTTTACCTTTTCTTAATCATTTCACACAAAACGAAGCCTTCAGCCACTACAGTAAATAAAAAAAAACTAGAAGGAGAATAAATTGAAAGGGGTGCAAGCTGACGGAGAATGACGAGTGAGGTTGCATTTAAATTTTTTATGCCATTTGAAATCAGTGAACCGGAAGAGATTTCCACAAGGGAGATGATCAGGATAAGGAAATATTAACATAAAATTTAAGGTTACAACTCGTAAATTTCAACAAAGAAATAATGTAATTTAGCTGCCAATCTAGTACTGCGATTAAAATACTTGGATTCGAGGTTTCAACGAGGAAATCTCATCAGAATTGTTACCGTGAACATATTTATAAGAGCTTCAAGCATCCTGGGCAAGACGATAGACTCCATCCAACAGCAAGGCCTCTGATCAGGATGTTTTGATGTGCATGCAACCACCTCTTAATTGCTGGTGTTCCCAGGTTCCCCATTACCCGGAGTTGTAGCACCTGTTAGGGTCCTAAATAAGAGCAAAGAGTTAACTCGCAAATTGGTGTCAAAACACTATGGAAGTGTACAAATAGGTTTTAATACCAACAATGAATTTTTGAAGAAAATTATTACCAGCAATAAATTTTTGAAGGAGAAGGTATTTTTCGGCATTAAATAACCGATTGAGGCTGGTATGCCGTAAAACAAACCAAACAAAACCAAGAGGAAGAAACGTTACGGCGGTGAGAAAGTGACAGATGCCTTGATGTCCGGTCAGGACCGATAACGTTGCATCTATTTGAATGGGAATTTTGTCTAGAATCTTTCTGTATAAAAAAAGAAGCACCGGACCAGAAGTGGCAGCCATATTCAATGCATTAAGGAATTCTTTCTTTTTATGTCCCATGTCCTTTCAGTACGTAGGTGTTCGTGGCTCTCCACCTCCCTCTATCCTTTGCAGTTCTCAACAAGTTCCTTCCCTCTGCCTCCTCCCCCAGACCACGTTCTGTCATCCACTTGCTTAAGTCCGCCAGGTATGTAACGCGTTGTTTTACCTTGTCTTTTTCCCTCTATTCGACACGTGAGTATCAGAGTCACCAGACCCTCCTTCCTCATTATGTGTCCCAGAAACTTCAGCTGCTTCTTCTTGATATTAAATATAAGACTCCTCCTTGTTTGCAACCTCTCTAAGAGCTCATCGTTGCTCACACGCTCTCTCTATGATATCAATAGCATCCTTCTGTAGAACCACATCTCAGTCGCATCTAGTCTTTTCTTCATCTTTGCGGAAATCGGTATGGACGAATATGGACTTATAAAAAAATGCCTAAGATAGATTCTTGCGATAAAAATGATCCTTCACGACGCAGTGAACCAACTATCCTAACATATGATTTAGCAAATGATTCAATATAATCAATCCACTTCATATCACTGGAAGACTTGTGACTATGAAGGCGCAAGGCGTTTCACTCTCGGAGGTTAGCATCATCTATGCTAACAAGAAATTTTCTTTAAAATTACATAGAGATTTGTTTTGATTTAGAGGCGTTAAAATTAACAAATCAATTTGCCCCAGTTAACAGCAGATAGAATATGATTTTTGAGATAAGGCGCTAATTTGATTTTACCTATCACATTTATTATATTGGCGGAGTAGGTAATGGTTGATCTAATTAATTCTACGCAGTAACAATTTAAGACGTTGCTTACTGAGAAAGACAATACTCGGAAAATGAAAAATTGGTTCTGGTCTGAACAGTAACATCGGCAAAAACAAACACCAGCTGACATATTTAGAGACAGAATGCAAATATCATGAAAACGAATTTGTTGTCTAGAGTAAATGTAGGAATAATATACATCGATGTTAGAAAGTATTAGACCGTGTGTCTGTAATACAGCTCACTGTTCAAGAAAAAAAAAGAAACATACAAACAGAATGAATCCAGAAGGCCTAGCTAACAAAGCCATGGGGTTTTACTTTGAAAAGACTGACTTCAAATGTTCAGAGGTCATCCAAGAACAACTATATGTTTTATTCAAAATTGTTACAAAGTTATATTGAATTATCAATATTTTCAAAGTTTCCGATAAGCAGCATTTATTAAGTGTGCCGTTATATTTCGTTTGCTCCTAGATATGCCATTGCTTACAAAAGTTTGAGAAACACGGCACTCAGCCATTGTATTACACAATTTCACTCTACCTCTCCTGCATTTAATTTTTATAATTTCCCATCTTGACAATCATTGTAAGATAAGTTCACATAACTTTAGTTGCATTTCTTAAACTCATTGTTACTAAATATTTATTTATACCAAAATAATTCTGTTTATCTGAAGTGGGTAAGGGAGAGAGAAAAAGAAAATGCTCAATGTTTATACCAACCTAATTGTTTAGATTTTTAACAGTTTGGATAAAACAAGTGTGAGATTCTGGATTGGGTGTGATTTGAGTCCCACACATGACTCGTTTGTTTGTTGCCATGAGTCTCCATTAACACATTGACTGCTAAGCATGAGATAACCAGCAGTCTGTGACATAATAAAAACTGCCAAGCACGAGATAACTAGCAGTCGGTGACATAATAAAAACTGCCAAGCACGAGATGGTGACATAATAAAGAAATTCGACCTGGTCTGAACAGGAACATCGGCAAGAACACAACAGCAGCTGATATGTTTAGAAACAGAATGCAAACGAATTTGTTGACAAGAGTAAATGGAGGAATAATGTACATCGATATTGGAAAGTACCAGGCCGTCTGTCTGTAATACAACTCACTGTTCAAGAAAAAACTTACCAATGTCAATAAACAGAATGGATCCAGAATGCCAAGCTAACAATGCCATGGAGTTTTACTTTGAAAAGACTGACTTTAGAGGCCATCCAAGAACCACCATAGTCACAACGCTGAACCGAGACATTCAAAGAACAAGTCAGAAAGATCCCACTTTTCATTTGGAGAAGTTTACAATCAAGGAAGATCTGCAAGAAATCTGCAAATTCGCAGAGGAGAGAAAGCTGGCAAAATATTGTCGAATCAGTATTCAATATCACTGATGATGAGAAAACAGGTTAATTCAAATTGAAACAGTTTCGATGACGATGATTAAAATAAATAGTTGTATCATTAACATATATATTGAATTGGGGACTGATTACCCTGATTAAACTGAAGGTCGTTGCTTAAAATAATAAACAGAACAAGAACAAGAATAGAGCGCTGGGCGACGCCCGCAAGAGATGCCCGCATTAACACAAAACGATTTAGAAACGTCGCTTTATTTAATTATTCGGACTATTGTCCTCATCTTTGTCGCCATATTTATTACAACGTTTCGGCCCTTCAGTATCTGTTTATATTTATGAGATGAGGTATTATGTACATTATTTACATTATTCGGACTATTGTCCTCATCTTTGTCGCCATATTTATTTCAACTTTTCGGCTACATGGCACAGTGGATAAAGGCGTTAGTTAAATCCAATGTCCTCATCTTTGTCGCCATATTTATTACAACGTTTCGGCCCTTCAGTATCTGTTTATATTTATGAGATGAGGTATTATGTACATTATTTACATTATTCGACTATTGTCCTCATCTTTGTCGCCATATTTATTTCAACTTTTCGGCTACATGGCACAGTGGATAAAGGCGTTAAATTAAATCCAATGTCCTCATCTTTGTCGCCATATTTATTACAACGTTTCGGCCCTTCAGTATCTGTTTATATTTATGAGATGAGGTATTATGTAC